GCGGAGCGGAGGTAGTGGAATTTGGGGGTAACCAGGAAACTACCTCCACTTTTGACCAGAAGGAACCAGAATATCCTCAGATCAAAGAGGAACAGCAGGAACTCCGTATCCGTCAGCATGAGGGGCCGTTCATTCCGAAGCAGGAAAATGTTACCTCCATGGTGTCTCCTCCTTTTGAAGAAACAGATTTCTGTGAACCAGAACCAAACAGGATCCAACGCTCGTGTCAGAGTTCTACTGAAGCTGAGAACCACGTTCAGGATAGATGCATGAGTGGAAACTCAGAACAAAACAGTAATGAAGAACTGACACGAAATGATTTACATCAACAAACCAAATATTTCATACACGGTGTAGACATTCAGAACATAAGGCTCATAAAGAGAGCCAGAGGTGGGAGACCACATGCATGTGGAACTTGTGGTAAAATTTTCTCTCGTAAAGCTGATCTGACTAAACATATTAGAGTTCACACAGGTGAGAAACCATATCCATGTAAAATCTGTGGTAGACGTTGTGCTACGAATGGTAACTTGACTGCTCACATGAGAATTCACACAGGTGAGAAACCACACGCATGTGAAACTTGTGGTAGATGTTTCTCACGACGGCAGGACTTGTCTAGACACATGACAAATGTACACAGGTGTACCATGTTGGATCAGTAACAAGAGATTCAGAACATTTCTTTAGCTTCCAGTATGACAATTCATACTCAAGATTTTCTTCATACAAGTGTGCTTTTAAAAGTTTTTTCTTCTAAAGTTAAGAAGAAATGAGATTTTGACAATGTTTAATCAAATATGCCTTAAGACTGATCTGGCCAAGTTTTGACACATTTACATTTTTAGAATGAGCACCAATGGCCAAAGTAAACCAGCTACAAGGCATGTTTTACAACTGTGGATGCCCATGTTTTTTCTTTTAGACAATAACTTGAAAAGATGTTTTTACCTAATCAAATACCTAAAATGCCATAGCTTACAGAACAAAGGAAGTGTTCACTCTAATATTTTTCTTCTGTTCCAACTATTTTTAGATGATTTGAGTTGCTTAAAGGCACAGTGTGTATTATTACTTGTTTAATATCAAAATATGTGTATTACTTTACAAACTTTTACTTTTTCAATATTTCTAACCAATAAGCGAGCCTAACGCCGGGGACACACCGGCCGCGGAAGCGCCGAGAAGCGAATCGCTCACGAAATTCAGCCGCTGCTTGCCGCTCCTCAGTTCAGATCAGACGCGCCCCAGTCGAGGCGCGCCTCGGCTCAGCTGTAGTTTTTCTTTTAAACACTTGGTGTCCTCCATTTCCTCTCTGCCTTTTCTCAGCTCTTTTCCTCTACGTTTGAGTGTGTGTGTGTGTGTGTGTGTGTGTGTGTGAACCTATGGTATGAGTTGTTTCTGCCAGTTGAATCTGTTGGAACCCGCTCCAATTCTGCAGCTGTATCCTAGCAGTTTCTTCAGAAATGGGTACGTAAATAATCATGTTTTTGGGGGTCGTACAGCTCCTTGTGTTTCTCAACTTCCATAATTAATTTAAAGTCATCCATCTTAACTGCTTCCCTCAGACTTTCTGCCTCTCTGTCCTGTTTGCTCCGGTGAAAAGACACCCAAAACCACACTCCCTTCACGTGGTCACACATGCACACAAGTTTGATGTGTGTGTGTGTTTGTGTGGTTTTTCTGCAGTGTCTGTTTACGAACACATTTGACTATTGCGGAATTTTATTTTTAAATGCTTTATTTTGTTAACTTTACCGGCCTGCCTCTTATGTCTACGTTTGACTTCCTGCCAGAATTGACGCGATTCACCCGCGGCTCGGAAAAAAATAGAGCAGACGCCGAAACGATCGCAGCACGGCGCGGGCTGGAGCGCCGGCGCGAGGCGATTCGCGGCACTTCGGCGGCCCATGTGGTCTATTGAATAGCTTAACAAGGGCGCCGAATGAAGGCAGTCCCATTTTTGCGGCGCTTCCGCGGCCAGTGTGTCCCCGGCGTAAGTCTGCTTCCGCATCATGGGTCCCTGGAAGAACGAAAAAATGAATGCAAGTCAACAGGGCTAAAAACGCTATTTTCTATTTTACCGCTTTGCCTTTAGCCCTAGATCACATGTATGTTGTATCCATCCATCCATCCATTTATCCGGAGTCAAGTCGCGGGGGCAGTAGCCTAAGTTGAGAGGCCCAGACTTACCTCTCCTCAGCCACTTGGGCCAGCTCCTTCAGGGAAATCCCATGGTGTTCCCTGGCCAGGTGAGAGACATAGTCTCTCCAACGTGTCCTGGGTCTACCTTTAGGTCTCCTCCCGGTTGGACGTGCCCAGAAAACCTCACCAGGGAGGTGTCCAGAAGGCATCCTGACCAGATGCCCGAGCCACCTCAACTGGCTCTTCTCGATGTGAAGGAGCAGCAGGTCTACTCCAAGCCCCTCCCGGATGACCGAGCTTCTCACCCTATCTCAGGGGTCGGCAACCTGTTCCCATCAAAGAGCCATTATGCCACAGCAGCCGTGGCATTGTGGGCGGGGCCTACCCTCAGACAGCAGAGAGCTGCTTTAACCAATCGCATCAGGTGACAGCAGCCAGTACCGGTCGCTCGTGTACGTCAAATTTATCTTTCATAAGACGATAATCAATAAAACGATTTATATAAAATGGATCCAGAAGTTGTAGCCCGTCTCTGCCTACAATATTTTGATATTTTTCACCCTGTTGATGGTTTTACTGAGCAGGTGCCACTTTTGTCATACGTTTCTTTTTAAAACATGTTTAGACTGTTCAGAATACAAATCCAGGCTCTGTCACGTTTGATTGTTGTAATTAAACTTTGTAGGTGGGGAAGGTCAGAAAAGGATCCGATCATTTTGTTTTTCCCTCATTTACAGTGACGGAGATAACGGCGCGGTGCGCCTGGCTCTGGTGGTAATCAAGTTTAATTATATCTCTTTGCAACAATTTTCACAAGAAAACAAAACAGTCAAAAGCAGGGCTTGTGTTGTGTTGACCGGATAGTTCCCGTATTTGACCGTTTATTTTGACGGAGAAAGAATAGAAAGAATTACCCCGACGCATGCAGACGAACTGACACTTTATTCGTTACGCACATTGCAGATGTAGCTAAATCACCCAAGAAAAGATTTCCTTCTGAACATCTGAGCTGGACACTGCTCAGTGCAGCTCGCTGTCAGCGCGTACGTATGGTGCACAGCAAGCTGAAGATGTGGAGAGGGGCTTGGAGCGCGTTGCAGAACCAGAGCGCATGCAGGAAGATTCCTCCGACTGAAGCGAGACTTGTCTCTTAGAAAATGTTCCCCGATTATGAAACTTTGGCTGAATAGCGCTTGTTCCTGTCTCCAATGTGGCAACACATCCAGGAGCCGTCTGAGGAGAAGCCCAGAATCACACATCCTCTTCAGCTCAGAAAGCGCCTATGATTACGCACAAGCGTGACGCGTCAACCTGGGCTCACAGTAAGACCGGGTTGGAACTGTTCAGGTTTACGCAGACAATCTTTACATTTAGAATTGGCATACAGATGTAAAATTAATGCAGTAAAATATAAAGCATTTTATTTAAATATCCATTCATTATTTTACACAGAGCACAGAGAGCCGCATCAGATGGATGGAAGAGCCGCATGCGGCTCCAGAGCCGCGGGTTGCCGACCCCCGCCCTATCTCTAAGGGAGAGCCCAGCCACTCTGCGGAGAAAACTCATTTTGGCCGCTTGTATTCGCAATCTCGTTCTTTCAGTCACTGCTCAAAGCTCGTGACCATAGGTGAGGGTAGGAACGTAGATCGACCAGTAAATCGAGAGCTTTGCCTTCTGACTCAGCTCTCTCTTCACCACGACAGACCGGTACAACGCCCGCATCACTGCAGATGCAGCACCAATCCACCTATCGATCTCACGCTCCAGTTTTCCCTCACTCGTGAACAAGACCCCGAGATACTTAAACTCCTCCACTTGGGGCAGGATGTTTTACTGCAATTTAAATAAAAACTATTGATGGGTGTTTTGACCATGCCAGTCATGTACTTTGAGATGTATTAGCTTGTAAAAGTTCGTAATTAGCATGTCTACAAACTAGAAATCGGCACGTCGCATATGTGGCATCACCACATAATCTCCTCTCACCTAGTGTAGCTGCTGCTTAACACATGACCAGATTCATGAAGGTTCTTTCCTCCTGTGGGACGTTCGCTGAACTTACAGCGAACCTCATACTTGTCACCTAAAAAATGTTCCCTGATTATGAAACTTTGGCTGAATAGCGCTTGTTCCTGTCTCCAATGTGACGACGCATCCACGAGCCTGTCTGAGGTCAAAAACCAGAATCTCATATCATCTTCGGCTCAAAAAGCGCCTATATTGATTACGCACAAGCAGGTGACCTGTCAACCTGGTCTAACGTGAGACAGGGTTGGACCTACAGTCAGGTCCATAAATATTGGGACATCAACACAATGCTAACATTTTTGGCTCTATACACCACCACAATGGATATCAAATGAAACGAACAAGATGTGCTTTAACTGCAAACTGTCAGCTTTTATTTGAGAGTATTTACATCCAAATCAGGTGAACGGTGTAGGAATTACAACAGTTTGCATATGTGCCTCCCACTTGTTAAGGGACCAAAAGTAATGGGACAGAATAAGAACCACAAATCAAACTTATACATTTCAATACTTGGTTGCAAATCCTTTGCAGTCAATTATAGCCTGAAGTCTGGAACACATAGACATCACCAGATGTTGGGTTTCATCCCTGGTGATGCTCTGCCAGGCCTCTACTGCAACAGTCTTCAGTTCCTGCTTGTTCCTGGGGCCTTTTCCCTTCAGTTTTGTCTTCAGCAAGTGAAATGCATGCTCAATCGGATTCAGGTCAGGTGATTGACTTGGCCATTGCAAAACAGTCCACTTCTTTCCCTTCAAAAACTCTTTGGTTGCTTTTGCAGTATGCTTTGGGTCATTGTCCATCTGCACCGTGAAGCGCCGTCCAATGAGTTCTCAGGCCTTTGGCTGAATGTGAGCAGATAATATTGCCTAAAACACTTCAGAATTCATCGTGCTGCTTTGTCAGCAGTCACATCATCAATACATACAAGAGAACCAGTTCCACTGGCAGCCATACATGCCCACGCCATGACACTTCCAGCACCATGCTTCACTGATGAGGTGGTATGCTTAGGATCATGAGCAGTTCCTTTCCATCTCCATACTCTTCTCTTCCCCTCACCCTGGTACAAGTTGATCTTGGTCTCATCTGTCCATAGGATGTTGTTCCATAACTGTGAAGGCTTTTTTAGATGTTGTTTGGCAAACTAATCTGGCCTTCCTGTTTTTGGGGCTCACCAGTGGTTTACATCTTGTGGTGAACCCTCTGTATTCATACTGGTGGAGTCTTCTCTTGATTGTTGACTTTGACACAGATACACCTACCTCCTGGAGAGTGTTCTTGATCTGGCCAACTGTTGTGAAGGGTGTTTTTTCTTCACCAGGTAAAGGATTCTTTGGTCATCCACCACAGTTGTTTTCCGTGGTCTTCTGGTGTTGCTGAGCTCACCGGTGCGTTCCTACTTTTTGAGAATGTTCCAAACTGTTGTTTTGGCCACGCCTAATGTTTTTGCTATCTCTCTGATAGGTTTATTTTGTTTTTTTCAGCCTAATGATGGCTTGCTGCACTGATGGTGACAGCTCTTTGGATCTCATCTTGACAGTTGACAGCAACAGATTCCAAATGCAAATAGCACACTTGAAATGAACTCTGGACCTTTTATCTGCTCATTGTAATTGGGATAATGAGGGAATAACGCACACCTGGCCATGGAACAGCTGAGGAGCCAATTGTCCCATTACTTTTGGTCCCTTAACAAGTGGGAGGCACATATGCAAACTGTTGTAATTCCTACACCGTTCACCTGATTTGGATGTAAATACCCTCAAATAAAAGCTGACAGTTTGCAGTTAAAGCAAATCTTTTTTGTTTCATTTGATATCCATTGTGGTGGTGTATAGAGCCAAAAATGTTAGCATTGTGTCGATGTCCCAATATTTATGGACCTGACTGTATTTGGGTTTACACGGAGCAGAAGGACGGAGTGCGTTCAGGCCACGGGTGAAATGTTCTTATTAAGTGGAATTATTTAATTATAATGTTCTAGACACACTGGTCAGGTTGTTTAGAATGGTACTTGAAGTGCAATACACACACATGCATACACACATTCTGCATTATGACGCAGGGGGACAAAATAGCTTTATTTCAGGTTTTTAAATTTTTGTTAACATTTTATATATATACATATATATACATATATATATATATACATATATATATATAAAGCCAACTGTTGCCTCGTCTGCTTTACGAGTACTCCTCATCCACCCATCCTGATTCAAGCTGGCTCTGCAGCTGCTCCTTTCATCCAGAGCAGATGAAGCAGGTTATTCAGTTGCTGTTGGCCGGTAGAGTGAAAATCTCAACAGGTGACTAAATAATAGCATATGCAACTACATGCATATGCATTAAAGATAACACACCCCAGCCCCAGTTTCTCTTTTTACCAGGGCACAGCAAATGCTGTCCAACAACTGATACCCATGAAATATCAATGTTTCTGTGTAGCACCTGTAATGCACTCACGCACCACCAGGGGCATGCGTACCGCAGGCTGAGAATCACTGGTATAAAACACAAATCTCATGAATATAAATACACAAAATGTAACATTATGAATAAACACAGTGAATATGAATACATATACGTATACAGCACAAATGTAATAGGCCAAATCAATTTAAAGTAAAAAGCACGTTATTATTATTATTATTATTATTACTTAATTACTATCACCAAGTGTGCATTTATCCTGGACAGGTTTCACCCGACCTGATAGATCCATGTCTGTTCATCCTGGACGCTCTTGTTTTGGATTCATTGAGCTCAGCTCAGTCACTAATCCCGGATTTCTTAATCCCAGTTTTGTTCCGCGGGCTCCTGTTGATGGAACCGTTTTTCCATACATCGCTGAGCCACAGATTGTAACACCAGTCCTTTAGACAAGCTCTGGTCCTTTGTCCTCTGGAGGACACGTGTCCATGTGGGTTCATCTGAGCAGTAATGGTTAGAGTGTGAGTCTCCAGCACAGATTTACAATGGATCATCTTTATTGATGATCCAGGTTCAGTTTGATCCTCAGACCCAGAACAACCTCTCTGTGTGTGTGTGTGTGTGTGTGTGTGTGTGTGTGTGTGTGTGTGTGTGTGTGTGTGTGTGTGTGGTATCATATGGTTGAGGACCTTTGTAGTGGTGCAGCTGAGCATAACCATCTGGGTTAATGAGGACACAGAGGGTAAACGTCATGGATCAGAAGTGAAGACGCTACAGCCTGGAGCTGGACGTGGACGCAGGTCAGCAAACCACCAGACTCTTTACTCTAGTGGAAACCAGTAAAATCATGTTCTAGAGTCTTGGGTCTGGGATCTTCACACCACCAGAGGTAAGACCGTGTTCTCTAACTTCACCAGAGCAGGAACCAAAGAGTCGGCTTCTGTTACCAGATCAAATCTTTTAGGTGTTTATCAGCCGATAAAAGTTTAAATATTTATAATCTACAAGTTTATCTGATTTAAGAGAATAAATCTAAACAAAAATTTGAATGCCTTAGTTTAATCTGTGTGAGTTCTTTAATCATTCCTGATGCATTTTAGCTTCCTGTTTCATGTTTTATCATCGTCTCTCTTCTCTGGTCTCCATCAGTTAGATGGTCTTCATCAGCAGGAGTCAAAGGTCAGGAATTTTAATACTTAGCACAAAGCATTTTTCATTTTCTGCTGAATGCTTAATGAGGAAGAGTGATGTATTATTGATAGGATTATGAAAGCTAATAATTAGAGCTGATTGCATTATTGATTAGGATGTATAAAGGAGCTGCAGCGGCCCGGAGCAGCAGCCCAGGTCCAGGTCAGCAGGACGGGACAGGAAGTCCAACACAAGACCAACGTTTGGTTTGCATGAAACCAGTTCTATGTGTAAGCACTAGAGCTGCTGGTTAATGGCTTAACTACCACCCAGGATTAGTTAGAGGGAATAAATAAATAAAAGATGATCATAAAACCAGCTCAGTGCCCTAGTGGTCGAGTGTCCACCCTGACTGAGAGGTCGGGGTTCAAATCCGGTCAGGTCATACCAAAGACCCAATGCCTCCCTGCTTGACACTCAGCTTTAAGGCGTTGGATTGGGGGGGGGGGGGGGGGGGGGGGGGGTTTAAACCACCAAATAGCAGAGGTGTGGACTCGAGTCATCATTTTAATGACTTCTGACTTGACTTGATAAAATCTCGACTTGACTCGGACTTAAAAGCCAGTGACTTGCAACTTGAATCGACTTGCATCTGTTGACTTGTTGATGACTTGAGCATATTTGATATTTTAACACGACATGGACAAAAATCATAAATCATTCTTGGTTCTGGGTTTGATTTACTGCTAAATGCAGCAGCACTTTGTTTATAATCAGTTTCAGTTTCTGCTTGTTTGAGCGAAAAAATGAAGCTTTAAGAAGCTTTTTTTCCCGGAATTTATTTATTATCATTGTCATTAAATTGAAGTTTGACAGATGACTTGATTATGACTTGAAAATTCAAAGTTAAAGACTTGGACTTGATTTGGACTTCCACATCATTGACTTTGGACTCGACTTGGTTGTCTTTGACTTGGATTTGACTCAAGACTTGACTGGAAAGACTTGTGACTTACTTGTGACTTGCAAAGCAGTGAGTTGGTCACACCTCTTCCCAGTAGTTCCCGAGACCAGCTATGTCTTCAGCTCACCGCTCTCCGTGAGGATGGGTCAAATGCGAAGCTGAATTTCACCCGTGTGATAATGACTAAAAGGACTTTAAGACAACAAAGCCCAACAGAACCATCATAATGCAGATCTGGTTTCTTCTAGGTCTCATTAGATGCAGTCTGGTTGCTGCTGGTTGCTGTCATCTACATAATATCTTTGTTTATTTTATATAAACTTGTTTTGAATCTACAGAAAATCAAAGTTATTCTGATTAAACATTGAAAACTTTCATCTAATTATTAGTTCATCATAAACTCCTACAACAAAGCCTGCTAATGACCACTTCCTGTCTCTTCCTGCCACTTCCTGTCTTGTCAGATGTCGTGGTGCTCGTCGTTCCACCGGTCAAAGTTTCGTCACGTCTTCGGAAAGTCGTCCTCCAAGGACCACAGTTACAACAGGGTGCCAATCACAAGGAGCGTCCATGACAACCACTACTGCTCGGCCAATCCCAGCTTCATCGCCGTGGTGACAGAGTGTGCCGGGGGCGGGTCATTTTTAGTCCTGCCGGTCCACCATGTATGTAGGTCCAACTCCCTCAGATGAACACAGCATACAGGAATAATTTATGTTTACACATTTAAATTAGATGAAATCGCCGACCTCTCCCTGGCCGGCCACCTTGCCATGGTGGAGGGGTTTGACCCTAGGAGCTAAGTTGTCTGAGGCTTTATTCCTCTGGCAGGGTCACAAACAGGCCCTTATGATTAATATTATCAATGGAAACAGTGTTCCCTCGCATGAATGGGGGTCACCAGGGCCCCCTCTGTGGAGTCTGGCCTAGCAGGGGACACGTTGGCAAGCATTTGGTGGCTGGACTTTCACCCGTGGGCTCATCACTTTTGGTGAGGGGCCAAAGGGGTCAGGTGCATTGTGAGATGGGTGGTAGCCGAAGGCGGGGACCTTGGCGGTCTGATCCTGGGCTACACAGCCGGCTCTTGGTACGTGGAATGTCACCTCTCTTTTTAAACAAGGTTAATAAGAGATTTTAACAGTTTTCAACAAGGCTTAAAAACTCCATGAACTACACAAAACCTTCCCCACCCCTCCCCACTACATCGGATCAAACTTAAAAACAGATACAGATCTTTCGCGCCTTCAATCGGAAAAGGGTAGAATGCCTTCTCCAGGTCCGGGATGAGGTCCTGCCTCAAGTGGAGGAGTTTAAGTATCTCTGGGTCTTGTTCACCAGTGAGGAAAATATGGAGCGTGAGATCGATAAGTGGATTGGTGCTGCATCTGCAGTGATGCGGGCGTTGTACCGGTCTGTCGTGGTGAAGAGAGAGCTGAGTCAGAAGGCGAAGCTCTCGATTTACCACTCGATCTACGTTCCTACCCTCACCTATGGTCATGAGCTTTGGGTAGTGACCAAAAGAACGAGATCGCGGATACAAGCGGCCAAAATGAGTTTTCTCTGCAGGGTGGCTGGAGAAATAGGGTGAGAAGTGTGGTCATCCGGGAGGGGCTCGGAGTAGACCCGCTGCTCCTCCACATCGAGAGGAGCCAGTTGAGGTGGATTGGGCATCTGGTCAGGATGCCTCCTGGGTGAGGTTTTCCAGGCATGTACAACTGGGAGGACACCCAGGGTAAGACCCAGGACACGCTGGAGGGACTATGTCTCTCACCTGGCCAGGGAATGCCATGGGATTCCCCCGGAAGAGCTGGCCCAAATTGCTGGGGAGAGGGAAGTCTGGGCGTCTCGGCTTGGGCTGCTGCCCCCGCGACCCGACTCCGCATAAGCAGCTGAAGATGGATGGATGGATGGATGGATGGATGGATGCATGGATGCATGGATGCATGGATGGATGGATGGATGGATGCATGGATGGATGGATGCATGGATGCATGGATGCATGGATGGATGGATGGATGGATGCATGGATGGATGGATGGATGGACGGATGGAGGTCTTTGGTCTGTGTTTTAAAAAGAACGACAACATGGAGAAAAAAAGTTTTAGAAGGAAAACTCTGGAGACATTGGAACAAATTGTGAATCGACACCTGGAGTGGACGCTGGCGCGTTTTTGCAGCCGCTGCTCACCGGTGATTTTAACGTGATTTTATCGTGTTTTACTTTTTATGGAGCACTAGATTGTAGATGTCCTAAGTGGGTGCTATATTTTTTCTGCCTCCATTGGATCCTGTTTGGTTGTCAGTTTGTTGTTTGGGTGTACAAGCGGACTAAACCTACCTCACTCCTCCCGGCTGTTGACCCGCTGCTATCGGCTATCTGCCCACCGCTGTTCATCATGTGGGCCTGCAAGTTATTTATCTGGTTGACCCTCCTCTGGTCTGCCCTGTCCCTTCTCCTCCAACCTGGGGCAGCTCTGTTCCAGTACACGGCGGCTGATCTCCTCCTGCTACGCAGGCATCTCTCTGTGCCTCCGCCGGTAGCATTACAGCTCCACCCGGAGATCGTCCTTTCTCCTCGCCGGAGATACATCCATCGTGGGTCTCGCCGTAACTTCCAGCTGGATAACTCTCACTCAATCACCTCATACTGGTCCACAACTCGTCGTCCTCGCCTCAACACTGGCCGGACTGCGGACCTTCGCTCGCTAGCCAGCCTGGCGAAGACAGCAACCTCCAACCACAACAACACCGTCAACTTCGGCCTCCTGAATGTCCGCTCTCTCACAAACAAGGGTCAGCTCATTCAGGACCTCATCACTGACCATAAACTGGATTTCATCGGGCTCACGGAGACCTGGCAGCAACTTAACGACTTTTCCCAACTTAACGCTTCCACTCCCCCCGGCTTTGTTTACCTTTCCTATCCACGTGGCTCCGGTCGTGGGGGCGGTCTCGCGCTGCTCTATCGCGAGAAGTGGAAGGTGCTGCCTGTCTCCACTCCTGCCTTCAGCTCCATGGAATCTTCTGTTTTTCAAATACCCGGTCCCACTCCTACAGTTATAGCCTTGATCTACCGCCCACCCAAGCCCAATAGTGACTTTTTAAATGACTTCTCCTCATTACTCACCCAGCTCACTACCCTCTCCCCCAGTGTCATTCTGCTTGGTGATATAAATATTCATATGGACAACTTGAACCTCCCCCTCACCAGAGACTTCTCCTCCTGCCTCAACAGCTTCGATTTTCAAACATATTCTAATTTTCCCAAGCACATTAAAGGTCACTCTCTTGATTTAATCTGCTGCTCTGGTTTAACCCCATCTAACTGTTCTGCTAATGATGTCCATATATCGGATCACTTTTTTCTGTCATTCAACATCCCCCTCTGCTCTTTAAGAACTAAGCCTATCCGTCACATCTCATTCTGCAATATCAAAAACATTAACCCAGACACCCTGTCATCTATTATTAACACTATATCCATCCCTAGTTCTGCTTCTCCTGACCATCTTGTTTCTCATTATAACTCCACACTCCACAATATCTTGGATTCTCTTGCACCTGTCAAAAGTCTGTCCGTCTCCTTTACTCACTCTGCCCCCTGGTTTACCCCTGAACTCCGACAGATGAAAGCCAAAGGACGTCAACTCGAATGCCTCCATAAACTAACTGGTCTTGCAGTACACAAAGAAATGCACAAAACTCATCTGCTTCAATACTTGGACTCAATTAAACATACAAAATCTGCTTTCTACTCTGGATTGGTTTCCTCCAATGAAGGCAACTCTAGGACTCTGTTCTCAATAATGTGCAATATTTTTCATCCCCCGGACTCTCTACCCCCCCACCTGTATTCTGCTGACTCATGTAACTCTTTATTAACCTTCTTTATTCAGAAGATTGCTTCCATACACCAGCAATTAATTCAAAGTTCTTCCCCTCCCCCTGAGATTTTTTCACCCGGCCAGTCATTTTGTTCCTTTCTTCTTCCCACCTCATCCGAAATATCTGATATTATCTGTAAATCCAAGCCCACCACCTGCTCTCTCGACCCCCTCCCTACAGTTTTGGTTAAAACATGTCTCACCTCCCTTCTCCCTCTCATAACCGCCATAATCCACTCCTCCCTCTCTACCGGTATTGTTCCCTCACTTTTCAAAACTGCATCTATTACTCCAATATTAAAGAAACCCGGCACCGATCCCAATAATTTCAATAATCTTCGTCCCATCTCAAATCTTCCCTTTCTTTCAAAAATCCTTGAAAAAATAATCTGTGCTCAACTCCATGCTCATCTCACGCTCAATAGCCTCTATGAGCCCTTCCAGTCTGGCTTTCGTCCTGGCCACAGTACAGAAACTGCACTCATAAAAATCACTAATGACCTCCTCACTGCTGCCGATACTGGACTGCTCTCCATTCTCATCCTCCTTGACTTGAGTTCAGCCTTCGATACCATCTCTCACACCATCCTCCTCCATAGATTGTCTTCCCTTGGCATTTCTCATACCCCGCTTGATTGGTTCCGTTCATATCTCTCTGGCCGTACTCAGTTTATTCAACTAAAATCCTTCACTTCCCGTCCCTTCCCTGTCACTACTGGCGTCCCCCAAGGCTCTGTTCTCGGTCCACTCCTTTTCATCACTTACCTTCTTCCCCTGGGAAATATTTTCCGTAAATTTGACATCCATTTTCATTGTTACGCGGATGACACCCAGCTCTATGAATCCTCCAAACCCTTCTCTTCACTTCCTCCTTCCTCCCTCACCAATTGTTTATCTGAAGTCAAAGACTGGTTCACATCAAACTTTCTCAAACTCAACAGTGATAAAACAGAAATGTTACTTGTCGGCACTAAATCTTTACTATCCAAAATCCACAGCTTTACACTTCCCGTCGACAACTCCTTAGTTTCCCCCTCCCCTCAGGTCAAGAGTCTGGGTGTCATCTTCGACTCCTCACTATCCTTCCAGTCCCACATAAACAATATTACCCGGTCTGCCTACTTCCATCTACGTAACATTAACCGCCTACGCCCCTCCCTCACTACTCACTCGGTCGCCATTCTTGTCCACAGCCTCATCACTTCCCGTATTGACTACTGCAACGCTCTTCTCTTCGGTCTTCCTCACAAATCCCTCCATAAACTCCAACTTCTCCAGAACTCGGCAGCCCGCATCATTTCCAGAACTCCCTCCTTCCACCACATCACCCCTGTTCTTCAGCAGCTCCACTGGCTCCCTGTCACTTCCAGAATCCAATTCAAAATTCTGCTATATACATTCAAAGCCATCCATAACCTAGCTCCACCGTACCTCTCAGACCTCCTTCATCCTTCAACCTCCACCCGTTCCCTTAGGTCCTCCTCCTCCATCCACCTCTCAGTCCCACCTTTCCGTCTGGTCACTATGGGGAGCAGGGCCTTCAGCCGCTCTGCTCCCCAGCTCTGGAACTCACTTCCTCCTGACCTCCGTAACATTGATTCCCTCACTCTCTTTAAAACCAGACTCAAAACTCACCTGTTCCGTCTAGCATTCCAATAATTACTCTCGTTGCTCCAATCTGTCTGTTTGTTTTATGCTGTTTTATCTTTTATTGTTGTGTATTTTATCTCTGTAAAGTGCCCTTGAGTGTTCAGAAAGGCGCTGTTGAAATAAAATGTATTATTATTAAATTAATGAACTTTGGCAGTACAGTCATTTTAACAGTGTTGATTCATTGATTTGAGGAGTGATTCAGGTTCTAGATCTAGGTGGAACAGAACCAGATGTTACCGTAGAAACAGGTTTTTGCTGGTTAGTACATCTTCCACTATAGCCACGCCCCCAGACTCCACCTCCTTTGTCTGACAGAACGTAGTCATCGTGAGTTTGATCCCAGAACTGTTGCCATGGGCAACGACTTGTAACCCACAAGTGTCACTGGACTCAACATGATTACGATCTACTTTAGTCTTCTAGACCTTCATAGGTTCTCCTCCATCAGACAGGCAGGTTGGAACCGCACCACCCGAGGGTCTGCGGTCACAGCGGCAGAGTTCTGGACGTGAAGTGGAACCCATTTGACGATCACTGCATTGCGTCGTGTTCAGAGGACTGCACCGTACGTTTTTACTGTCTGGTTCTGATGTAAGGTTGGGGGGGGGGGGGGGGGGGGGGGGGGGCTAAAATTAAAACCAAGTTCTGGTTCTGTTCAAAGGTGAAGATTTGGGACATTCCGATCTGTGGAGTCCAACAGAACATCAACAAGGCCCGGAAGACTCTGATTGGTCACTGCAGGAGGGTTGCCATCATTGAGTGGCATCCGACAGCTGTGAACCTGCTGCTAAGCTCCGCCTACGACTGCAAGGTCAGGCTCCTCATTGGTCCACATTGTTTGTCATATGTTTTTATTTCATTGAATTAACTCATAAAACGACACCAGCCTCTTTATCAGATCTGGGGTTTTGTCTCCGTCTCGGCTCCAGGTTCTTCTGTGGGACGTGTCCCAGGCTGGAGCTGTAATCAGACAGCCGGTCCGGGTGGTTCTGACTCCTGTCCATTACCGCTACCCCTCAGAGGCGCTGCTGCTGTCTGTCAGCTTCAACAAGGATGGCAGCAGGCTGGCAGTCACGTCCAAGGACAGGCGGGTTCGGGTCCTTGACCCACGGGCTGGGAAGATTTTACAGGTGTCTTCTTAAAGTGTGTCCTCATTGTGTCTTTAATAAAGGGTTAGTCATTTAGGAGGCTTTTATACTCAAATCCTCAGTCGGATGTCTCTGCAGGTGTCCAGCAGTAAGACACACAGGGCCAACAAGGTTTTATACATTGGAGGGCTGAAGATGCTTTTGTCCACTGGAAGTTCTCCATGGAACCACAGACAAATTGTCCTCTGGGACCCGGTGAGACAACGTCTTCAGTGGTTCTGACCAATGTTCTCCCCCAGAGAACAGAAATGTTATAATTCAGACATCTGTGTGTCCTCCATGAACAGGAGGACCTGTCTGAACCTCTGTATGAGGAGGACTTGGATGGATCAGCAGGAGTTCTCTTCCCGTTCTACGACCCGGACACACAGATGCTCTACTTGGCTGGAAAGGTTTTAAAAAATAATCTCTGATTCTTTCCTGTAGGCTAGATGTTCTCAGAGGAATCAAAAAGCTCTTTACTCGTTACAGATGATTGTTTATTGTTTGTAGGGTGATGGAACCATCAGGTGCTACGAGCTGAGCTCTGAGAAACCTTACATCAGCTTCCTGACGGAGTACAGGTCCCCGCTACCCCAGAAAGGACTTGGTCAGTTTAAAAAGGGCCACAAAGACTTTTGGATTTACTATAATCTAATTCTGAAAGACAGAAAACCCATCTAAGAGATGAATGAGAATGGTACCGTGATGTTGACAGATGTGCTAATATGTTAGCCTGGAGGGAAGATTTCCGATTAAACTAAAACAAATGTAAACAAATTAAATTTTATTTTATTGTTTGTTTTCCTTTTAGATAACTTGTTTGGGACCAGTGTTGTTTCAGAGCCAACTTCTGACAATAAATCTAATGCTAACATGTTAACGAGAGCTAATTAGCATTAGCAGTTCTTGTTTATCTCCCATATTTAAAAGTTTGCAGATTAATAAAAAAAACATTAATAAGTCAGTAAAGTTTACCAAACTTAAACATAGCTTTATCTCAAAAGGACCTTAACTCCCACTGATGTATGTATTTCAGCTTGCTGAGCTAATTTTGGCTAACCACTTGTTTTAGCTAAACTCTCAATAGCAAACAGATCAAAACAGCACACAGATAAATATTTTGTTTACTGAAACGAATGTTTGAACGAACACTTTAATCAGGAGAACATCTTAGCAAGTGGTCAAGCTAATACAAGCTAGGCTACTAGCTCGTATAATAGTTACTGCAAAAGGGTTACATGGGTTTTTTTTTTCCAATTCCAACAATAATTTTAGAATGATTGACTGTGATTGAATTGATGAAGTAATTTTCTGAGAGACCGCAGCTGGATGAAAATGTGTGCTTCTGATATTTTAGGAGTCATGCCAAAGCGCGGTCTGGATGTTAGGTCATGTGAGGTTTTCCGGTTTTATCGTCTGGTTGCTGTCAGTGATCTGGTGGAACCGCTGTCCATGTTCGTACCAAGAAAAGAGGTTCTGATGATTTGCCCTGATTATCCTTCAGCTTCTTGCTGATGAGCGTGAAGAGATTATCTAAACACAAACATCTGTTTTTCCTCAGTCAGGAGTCTTCCAGGAGGACCTGTATCCTATGACGGCAGGAAACCAGGCGGCGCTGACGGCTCAGGAGTGGCTTCAGGGCATTGATAGAGGTCAGCAACTCAGAAATACCTCATCTGCTCTGCTATCAGCTCAACTCAGTGATCCAATAAAGCCTTCTGGTCTCACCTTCAGACCCGGTTCTGATGTCCCTGAAGCCCGAAGCCCGTGTAGAGAACCCATACGGGGAGGTCTCTCCAGACAAGACCCAGTTGGGCCAGCTGAGCTCCCTCAGGGTCCAGACAGGCCCAGTTGGTGGTCCAGTGACCAACTCGTACCAGTACCGTGTAGAAAAGGTAGATCCCTTTGTCCTGACAGAAACCCAAACCCATTAACGATGTCAGAATGAAGACGCATGTTCGAACCTCTTGTGCTTTTATTGTGGTGGAGGACTTCCTGCGGGAGCAGCTGGCCTATCAGGATGCCAAATACTCCTTTAATGTCAGCGACCTGTCGGGGTGGCAGCCCGATGAGACCCAGAGTCCCCTCATGGCCTACTGCTGCACCCCCCACTGCTGCGAACCAGAGGAGAACCCCCCACCCAAAGCTGAGACAGAGGTCAGGAAGAAATGCCTCTCATCTTCTGTCCTCATGGACACGCTGATGGTGTGGTTCTGTTTCAGCTCCTGAAGGCTTTTTACAGACAGCAGGAGGAGATCAGAGACCTGAAGGAGGAGCTGCAGCACAGAGACGTGAGTAGTTAGTCCTTCTGAGCAGCAGAGCTCTGGTTGATCACCCTGACCCAGAACTGTGGTTCTGGTGTCTGCAGATGAGGATTGCTCAGCTGGAGCAGCAGATGAAGACCAGAGTGAGGACCGCACTCTGACTCTTTCCGTTTAAGACCTGGAGAAGACTCACTGTAGTGTGTGAAGGGTGGAAAACACGACGTCTAACTGGTTAAACTGAGATCAGTTTTCTGAGATAAGCCAGATTCTTACTGGTGCTTTTATTCTTTAGCTCTTTTAGAGGATCTGAGGCACTGATGTTGTATTTTATACACAACAGATTCATCTGAAACTGGTATTTTAAAGTTAAAACTGATAAAAAAAAAACTGATTCAAAACATAAAACTCATGTTAAAGGGACACTTTGCAACTTTTCATATTTTTAAATCCTGTTTTTGAGCCAGTGTGTGCTAAAATGACCCCTTTACAGGGTTAATGAAAAGCCACCCAGTCCCTATCATCCCAGCGGCCAGAATATTCCACTTGCAACTTCAGACTGGTGGGCCGCTCTGTTTGGACTTACTTCACGCTGTTAAATCAAGGGGTTAAAAAGACGAATATACAGGGCAGGGGCGTGTCCAGGGAGTGGCCTGGGGTAGCACATGCCACCCTTGGAATCTGATTGGCCACCCCAGGTGCCACCACACTAATTTACCTTCAAACAGGCTTTTCATTGTCCACTAGGCTCGGGGGTAAAACAAAAGAAGCATAACCATTGGTGCCACCCATGCAAAAAGTTGTGCCTCACCTGGGCCACCCCATTTTTAAAGATCTGGACACGCCACTGGCACAGGGAGGAGATAGGTTCTACTTTCAGTTCTACAAATGGACACTAAGGGGTGCTAAAAGCAAGCTAAACTGCCTAGTTCCCCTTTTAAAACTCCCGAGTGGATCAGATGATTCTGAATACTTATGCAAAGCAGGATAATTACACAGTAGTCTGCTGCCCTCTAGTGGACAGACTCAAAAAGAGAATTTCTGATGCTTTTTTTATTCTGCTGCTCATAGAAAAACATTTAAGACATTAAAAATAAACAATGATAGAAAAAATGTTTTAACTTACTTTTAAACTAACTTTAACAGACAGATGGCATCTTTTTAGCTCCAATTTGAATCCTGATGTTCTGCTTTGGGAGTAAAAAGTTTAAACTGGGTAAGTATATGTGTTTATATCTGGGTCTGACCGCGGAAAGCAGTTTCTTTAAAATGTCGATATCTTAAATGTCAAAATAATGTAATTGCTGCTGTTATGTCAAAAATTCCCCACCAAGGGGCAATAAAGAGATTTTATAGTCAGAAAAATGAAACCAAATACGGGGAAGAAAAAGACACCAAGAGGAAAATGTTAAGATTTTATTTACAAAGTTAATTTTGTATGTTCAGAATGTATTTAACTTACTGAGTAGAAAAACAAGCCAACAAAAACAAACAACTTCGTCTAGTCACCGTGTGCGTTTGTGTTCCTGGACAAACACACAAGTTAACAAAAAAAAACATCTGAAAAAATAATTTTAAAAAACTCTGCTGGCAAAAAACTGAACAAAAACAAGTTTGCCCTGAGCTGGAGCCATAGGGGAGGGGCTCTGGGAGGGGGCGGGGCTTCCAGACAACAAAAAGCAGGATCTCAGCATCCATGGATGGAGCCGCATCCAGTTTCTTCCAAAAAAAACAAACCAAAAAAAAAAAAAAAAAACTTTGTCATGTTAGATGCATTGAAAACAACGTAACGGGTTTGACAAATTCAGAAGAAAAAAAAAACAGATAACGTAAAAACCACCTGATGGATGCTCAGAACCGAGCTGCTTATGACTGGTTTTATCTACCCAAAACAAACGACGACATAGAGCTCACACGTGTAAAAATACTGTTAATATTTCATCAGGTAAAAATAGTTACAATTGTGTCTTGTTTATTTTCTAGCAGAAATTAAACATGTCAAAAATAGACAACCAAAAATCTTTGATGTCTGGAAGCTTTTTAGAAAACGACGACTGGTTTTATATTATTTGAACTAAACTTGAACATTTCATTCCTGAGTTTAAAAATGTGCTGTAAAAAACAAAACAGGAGTTTCCGATAAATAAGAAACTAAAGGTTATTTTGGTTTGAGGCGAGAAGCAGGCCTGGATCAGAAACGGGACGCAGCCCAAGATAAGGGGTGAGGGTAGAGGGGTTAGGGGGCAACGGTCGAGGTTAATCATCGTCCTCATCATCATCGGGGTCTCTCTTCCTCTTCTCTCCTTTAGTCGGAGACGAGTCCTCGTCTGCAGAACAAACAGTCTCTAATCAGCTGATTAACTCGTATAAGATTCAGTCCTTAAGGAGAAACCCGGACAATAATTATGATTTTATGACGGTAAAAGTCCACCATCTGCTTTAATTTTCTGGGCTTTTAATCCTCTGGAGGCAGGCGTTGCAGATTTGCAACGTTAAAACCTACCTACCCGGTTACTCCACATGCGTATATCATGAGCATTTTTTAACTCAGAACTGAAGGACTTAGTTGTTCGTCCTTTTATCAAAACTTATTTTGACCCTGAGAGGGTTAAAGTATTTTCTATCATCTGGTTATAGCTGAAGACTCTGGGATCGACTATAAACCCTGTCCTTCATCAGAACAACTTCCCGTATTTTATCTTCGGTGTTTCTGCTTATTCAACCCCCAGAAATAAAAGAAGTGGTGCTCACCGTCTTCTTCCTCATCATCCTCATCATCATCGTCGCCCTCACTGTCCCCATCCTGCAGAAACAACATCAGAGGAAACATTTTATCGTGAAGGCAAACGTTGCAGGTTAACTGGTGGCTCCTAGAATATCTGAAAAAATTAGGAGGCAGATCTTTTAGTTATCAGGCTCCCCTCTTGTGGAACCAGCTTCTAGCTTTACTACATGAGGCAGACATGTAGAACTTTAATTGATAGGGCCTATGGTTAAATTCTGATGTTAGCCCTTGTTTGGATGAGTGTGGAGTAGAGAGGTGGAGTGTACAGCTGGTTAGGTTATCCTGAGTTATGCTGCTATAGGCTTACCCCTACTTCACACTGGAAGCAGTGTGAAGTAGGGGTTTACTTGCAACTTTTGCTGCAGGCTAGTACACACCGGGGGAGTATTGGCCGCAAAAACGGCTTCCTCACTTGACTCGCGAGACCACAACATCCTTCACCAAAAAGAAGGAAATCACGTTTGATGTTGCTGTTTGATGTAATATTTTGATGTTGTTCTTCTCCACTGCCAGGTTTAAAGCCACGAAAAACACACTGTTGCACTTCTGGGAGGATGCTGAGAGTAAATAAGCCGGTATTGATGTAATCTACATAGATATAAAATTGGATCGCTGCAATAGTCTTTTATTTTGAAAATTACTGGAGTTTTTACACTGAAACCGTATACGATTTCATGTCTAGTCCTATGTTAACGGTGAAAATGTTTGTGTTCCAGGAGCGGGTTGTGGCAAAAACAGAACCCTATCGTTTTTTTAGCGGTGTAGCAAACGGTTTTTTGTGAAGTGCCTTGAAACGACTCTTGTAACGGTTTGGCGCTACATACATAAACTGAATCAGAGCTACAGAAAATGAAGAATCGGATTCTTATGTGGTTTGTGAACACACCATTAAGCTCACACTTACCTCGTCACCACTGTCTTCTTCTTCCTCATCTTCCTCCTCCAAGTCGTCCGACTCCCCCCCTGAGGAGAAACACCAATGTTACGCTTCTGAAAACAGTCTTACGCTCGCGTCCCTCTGAGCTCACATCTCACCTTCGCCATCCAGTTCATCAATGCTGTCTCCATCATCGTCAAAGTCGGACGCCTCACAGTTGTCGACGTCGTAGCCGTCCAGGTAGGTGAGCTGAGGGAGGAGCGTGAAGATGGAGTCCCTGTAGGCTCCCAGGTTGGTCACCTCACAGTTAAACAGGTCTAGACTCTTCAGCTGGGGCAGCTTTTTCTAGAGCAGAAAAGACTAATCTGGTCAGGAGACGAGGGACCAGATTCTGGACATAAACAAAGATCTTTAGATAATCTCCACCCACCAGTGGCTCCAGCGTGCTGAGGTCCTTAAACTTGTTGCCACTCAGGTTCAGGTGCGTCAGGTTGACCAGCCGCTCCGCCAGAACCTCCAGACCTCCAGATATCCTGTTGTCACTGAGCTCCAGCTGGACACAAACCAGAAGAGTACTCAGAACTCACATGTTCTGGTTAACTTTAGAACAGAAACCAAAAAGAACCAATTCAGCTCTACCTTTTTGAGTTTGTCCAACTTAGGGATGTCTGCGACACTGGTCAGACCCACGTTGGTGAGGCTGAGCAGCTCCAGGTTGGAGAACTCCTCTGTGATTCCTTCGATCTTCCCCTCATCAGAGCGACAGTTGTCCAGAACCAGCTCCTGGACCTGAGCAGAAGAATCCAGTGAGCAGCTACGTCGGATTATGTCAGCACTAGGTCTCAGTTTCTAAATTAAACCGAGTTTGCTCCTGTGACTAATGTATTTTATTGTGATTAATCTTTGACTTAACAGTAAAAACAGAGCTAATTTTGTTATGGCTGGAGTTTTCTAGATATTTGTTCGTGCGGGGACAGGACGGTCTGGAACTCCCTAGTTGGGATGCTGCCCCCACGACCCAGATAGGCGAAAGAAGTTGAGACGAGATTTATTCACGATTTTGAGTTTAAAAGTGACATTAATTTATGCGGTAATGCACCTTTAAAGTGTTTTTCCTCTACAAACATCTCAAAATATTAACCTGCCAGGGAAAATCGGGTGATAACTAATTTCTGAACCAGAAGAAATCAAAAACACATGTGGTGTTATTGGTAGTTTCTACGAAATGGTACGGGCCCAGTGAACCCACCCCCAACAGCTTTATATCGGAACGGTGCCGTTCGCGGCTGTTTGTAAACTACCCACCTGGGTCACGTGGGCAGCCTGATATCTATAAACTGACTCATGGCTGCCTCCCAGAATACGATAAAACTACCCAGAATAAGAATTTACAAATACTAGATGGGTTTACAATATAAATGAGGCAGGACCCCACCCCCCGTTTCGCTTTTTCAAAACAAGCTAGCAACAGCAGGCACACTTAGCACGCTGTGGAGGTAGGATCCAACTAATTTCTGGGAGGCCTTCGTATTAAAACAGTACAGATGCGGTTTCGCGTTGTAATTATTTTTTCACTAAGTTACATGATAAAAATGAAAGCTGAATTCTACAAAAATAACTTACCAGGTAAAATAAAATAAAAAAAACAGAACTTAGTGTAATCAAATGATAGCACTAGCATTTCCTGCTAACTTTACAACAAGGATTCATGAAAACGAAACACCACTAAATGTAATACATGTTTATAGGAGTCTTTACATATTATATGAACTAACTATATGACTTTATTTCAAAAGTACGAACAGCAAACATTGCGCAGGGAACTTGAGCTTTGCAATGTTTTCATTCCAGGTATTAGTCAGGCCCAAGACAGCGGATATTAAGTGTTAGCTCTTCCTGAGTACAGCTCAAACTGATTTTTTGAGTTATTTACTTAAAAAATTGGAATAAAAATCCTGACTAAACAAAAATCATAGATGTGACTTCTGACCATTTACGACTAAGAATAAGTAAGCACAACGTAGTAAATAAGTAACTAGTAAACAACTTTGTAGTGATCAAAGAACAATAACTAAAGTGGCGTAAATATGAGTTCCATAAACTTCCATGAACACGCAGTTGACCTTTACTACAGGTGGTCTGGGAGTTTAGTTTTAACCAGCAAACAAACACGTTGGTACTTTAGCTGAGCTGCAGCCACCATGTGCTCACCACCACCCCTTCCTACCTTCGCCGGTCCAGTTTACGCCGCAGCAGTACCGAACCGGATTTCTCACCTCTGCTGGCGACCGGTGCCTCAGCTCTAAAGAGACCCTTTTCTTCATGTCCATGTTCTTCTAGTCTGCTCCTGAGATTGTCTCTGTGTGGTCTGAAAAACGTGTTTTCTCCCCAAGTCCTCTCTCCTACATCAACACGCGGACCGAACGTTAAGTTATTTAGCTTTAGCATAGACGACTTCCGGTTGAGACTACAAATATAAAACTCACACGCCCCTCAGTGGAAGAGCTTTGCTGTTAGGTTGCCATTTGTGTTCGTATTTTTTAAATTAAATTTCATTTAAATAAATACATGTACGATCATCGACTCTCTCATAGAGCTTAATACTTCAAATAAAATATGTTACTTTTAGATTTACATTTATTTTGAAAGGCAAATATGGAAAATACTTTTTCCGTGTCTTCTTGTCCAACTTGACACAAGCCACAGATCAACGTTACCGTAACGTCCGTGAAAGTGGGTCAAGTTGGCTGCTGCTTTTATATGCCCTCAGAAATGAAGCAATTTTCAATTTCTAATTGTAAAGGCTGCGTGTTAAACTCAAAATTTAAGTCATGTAATTTAACATAGACCACGCAGACAAAAATAGTTAATAAATTACTCCATTGTTAGTCCTCTGTGTTTCTTTTACTCAGAATTGAATGATTAAAAAGGTCTCAGTTTACCTAACACAAAAAAGTCTGTCTTTTTGATGGGGCAGCACAAATTCCGAGGTTTTTGAAGACATCACGAATACAAATGTGGAGCAGTCTCCTCCCTTTCCGGTCGGCCCATGGGTCCCCGGAAGAACGAAAAAATGAATGCGAGTCAATGAGGCTAAAAGAGCTATTTTATAATCCGCTTTGCCTTAGACCCTGGATCGCACATATGTTGTACTGCAATTTAAATGAAAACTAATGATGGGTATTTCGACCATGCCTGTCACGTACATTGAGATTTATCAGTTTGTCAAAGTTCGTAAATAGCATTACTACAAACCAGACATCGGCACATCGCATAGATGACGTCACCACATACTTCTCTCCCCTAGTTTCTCTGCTACTTACCACATGGTCAGATTTACGGTGGTTCTTTCCTCAGGGTTTTCCTGGCTCAAACTGAGGCAGAGGTGGTAGCATCCTGACCATGCGCCAGCACATGCATACTCTGTGCATTTAACTGCCTCACTTTTTTAAAGGCAAAATATTATAAAAGGCTCAATAATATGCATTAGATTGGTGTTTAGTTCCCTTTTTCCCATCTGATACTTATAGTTTAAAATGTTTTTTAATATTTGACCTACATTTCAGTAACATTTTAGGTTTGCATTAACACTCATCTTAGTCAAAATAACACATAAACATATCCAGTAAAATATAATGCATTTCATCAACATGCATTTGTATTGGAAACGGTAATAACATTTAATTTGTGCTGCTAACAATGTAATGGTGGCATGTCTATTATGTTAGGGGGTTATATTTGGGTTAGGCACCCAAAATGCCTTGAAACGGCCCTGGGTGTGTGACTGACTTTTGAAGGTGATCTGAACTGTATCAGATGTATAAATATGACATGTGTATAACTTATTGTTTTATACAGGTAAAAACGTATAGTGGAGATAAATCTACCTACATTTGACTTTCAAGCTTTGTTTTCCTGTTTTTATTTAACTATTTTCCTGTCCTGTCTGTCTCTCATCTTCCTGCATCTCCTCTAAACTCTCCAGAAAAACTGCTGCCCGGATTCTTACTTTTTCACCTCATCAGTTACTTTTGAGCAGATCAAAGGGATCTCCTGACCGCAAAGCGGAGTGCGTGTTTCGAAGCTGCTTCAGTGAGGTGAAATCACTGCAGCAGGTGATGAGCAGAGCACTTCAGGAATGATTAAAAGACAGAGCACCAGAGGATTTAAATAGATATGAATGATCATCAAAATCAAATCAAATCAATCACATCAAATGATCATGTGTTAATAATGTTTTGTTGCGCCACCTTGAGAACGTAGTGCGCCAGACGCAGCGGGCGCACCAACGATCCGTGCTCTGCGTCCTCTCTGCTCCACAAATCCCGCTACGTTGAGAGTCCATCAGTATTTTAATATAGGCAGAAACTGGGTCTTTCCCTGACAGATATCTAGCCCCCCATAATTTGATCCCTGCTCCTGGACGCCGCCACGCAAATTTGAACGCAGAAAAAACCCAGTGTCCTCCTGAAGGAAGGATTTGAAGTTCGCTGAACTTACAGCCATCTTCCCTCTGTTTTTCTCCGTGTCTGGTTCGATGATGTCACTTTCATGAAGCACATTTGTAGTCCTGGACTTATTTTCACACAAAACCTAAAAGAACGGCCTTGTTCAAGATGGGCAGCGCCTCACCTGGAAAACAGACGAGAGCAGACACACACAGCAGTGGGAGTGGCTGGTGGGACAGATTTCCCTACATGTAGCTTGCGGGTGACGATGGCTGATGATATCGCGTTAGCCTTTATACTTGTTTAAAGAGGGAATGCACTCCATCAGAAAATGTAACTCCACAAACTAGTCAAGATTTGAAAAATGCCATGAAAGTGGGCGTTGCCAGGAGGCACAAAGTAGCATGGCCAAGTGTGGGAATTTCCATCCTGGGAGGCAGGGGGACTGGGAGGAGACTGTACCTATGACATGAAATTGTTCCAGCCCCAGACAATCACAAGTTTAACATGCAGTGGCTGCTGTTCTGTCACAGGGGGCAGCACTCAGACGGTTTTAGACCTAGATTCTAGATTTAATCAAGTTTACACAAACATATCAAAAAATCCACAGATTGCTTTTGTAAAGACCCGATTATACAGTTAATTAGCAAAAAAATGTTATTTTTGGGTTTAGTTACTCTTTAATTTTCATTCTGGTGCCTGTTAGCAGCTGAAACACATCCTCACATGCTTGTGGATATCATATATTGTAGACATGTGCATATGAAGACATGACTGTAGTAATAAGTAAAGGTTAGCAGCTGTAGAGTTTTTAGTGTGCTATTAGGAAACGTGACAAAAGAAAACAAATCACATTTCTTTTCATGACCTATATAGTTGTCATCATCAACTTAACATGATTTACAGAATACATGTGACCAACTAACATTTCACATTCTACCATCGGATGTTTGGATCAAAATGGGAACCAATAAGAGCTTAGATCAGGCGAGAGCCAGGCGTTTCCCGTCATGCCCTAGGTTTTGCAGCCGGTGGGGAGCAACTGCAGCGCTTTGCTCCAAAATCCGCTGCCACCTTGATCCCACGACATTATCATTGCCTACGTAGGCATGATGCCAGAGGAAGTCGGTGTTAAGTCAGACACAAATCTAACCGGCATGCACTAAGGGGTGCCATTTGTAAAGTCAAACAGTTAGCAAAATAAATATTTAACTAGAAATTAAATATTTAGCTTGCTAACTAAATATTTATTTGGAAACTTTAACATTTATAAATGTATGAATAACATGGTGAAAATATGACTTCGAAAAAGTGAACTCCCAATTTTTTCTCTTATGCTAAATAACCAAAAATAATGCTGTTAGATTATGACTGTTTGACTTTACAAATGGCACCCCGTCATGCACTGCGCGCCGATCACCGGTGATTGAATCTGCGCAGAACTGGCTCGTCTCGAACACGGCCCCGTTCGAAAAAGAAGCGCTTTCTTGGTATCAAAATGCGTCTTTAAAATTCACAGACATCTTATGTGAAATCCATGGCACATAACAAGCGGAAATAGAAAATATTGGTTTTAGCCCTATTGACTCGCATTCATTTTTTGTTCTTCTGGGGCAGGGGTGGCGTTAGGCCCGGCTACTTGGGCTGAAGCCCCGGATGTTTCATGATAAGACCCGGATCTAAATCGTGGAAGTAACATGCAGTACCAAAGTCCAACAGAGAGGGAGCAGCTGGCAGTAGTTTGTATACAGCCTTCCTGAGCCTCCACCACTGAAGAAGAAGCCCTTCAGCAGCCGGCTTCTTCTACACTCTCTGCCTGAAACACACGAGTGAAGATGGACATAAGGACGTTTTTTTGACAAAAAGTACAACGACAGAACCCCAGCTTTGATGAGACTGGTGTTGACTCAGGTTTGTGAGTCTTATTTGAAAATATTTGTTGTGCTGCTGGTTTGCCTAAAGTTAGCTTACTATCAGGTAAAGTTGTTGGAGAAAGAAAGGGAATATTTACTATCATCTCACACTAAACACTAACAGGAACATTACTCTGCCCTGAAAATGCTTAATATGTAGCTTCAGATTAAAAATTATGTGGTACCAGACATATATATATATATATATATATATATATATATATATATATATATATATATATATATATATATATATATATGATGTTGACTAGTACGTGTCACGTGTGTGCACGCGTGCGCGTGTGTGTTAAGCCCCGGATCTTCTTCAGTCCTAAATCCGCCCCTGTTCTGGGGACCCATGGTCCAGAAGTAGAGGGGCGTGACTTAGGCTCCCCATGGAGTGAACATCCGATTGAAGACAGCAATGCTTCTTGGTGCCTCTAGCTGTGGCATGTTGACGTTAAATCAGTGGGTTATTTTTAACTGGAACCTGATAAATGCCTGTTTATAATACTAATAACAAAGCCGCTTCAGCTGTAATGATTTTTTTGAAGAAACCACAAAAAAGAAGAAAAAAGAAAACAAAACATTTTTTGGACAAACACTTTAAAAACTTTGTTTTATGTATCTATTTATACTATAAAATACAAACCATTCATCTGATTTACATTTAAAATGTTTTATACCGATTTGTCAATAAATCAAAAAAGAAAAATATCTTTTTTAGACTGAATCACATTTAAATGTCTTAACCTTAGTGGTAGAGTGTCCACTCAGGAACTGGGAGATCAGGGTTTAAATCTCATTCTGGTCATTCAAGAGACTTGAAAAATGGGGCCCAAAGCCTCCCTGATTGAAACTCAACTTTAAGGGGGGGTTGGATTGTGGGGTTGTACCACCAAATAGCTCCAGAGTGCAGCTACAGCTGAAGCTCACCATCCCCCACAGAGAAGGGTCAAATGCGGAGATGTAATTTCACCAGTGTGTGATGATGACTATGGAACTTTATCACTGAACTGCTGAATATTTTCCAAAGTGTTGACATTTTTATTTATAACAAACATACTTGAGTGGTGCCCTCAGCAGTGTGTTAATTCTTTATTGTCATAACATTGTAGATCATCTTCACAACGAGTAGTTATACATACAGTGGTCTTAGAGTATATCATTGTCCAATACGAAGAGAGCAACAGTTAGTATCACAGCTAAGGTTTTGTTTTTTACCCCAAATACAAACCCAGTCCACACACCACCTCCTCTCTGCTCCTTTACATCACACACCAATTTGTTGACAACCATCAAATGTGTCACAGGTGCTCAAACACCAATAAATAGGACAATGGAATAAATAAATAAATAAATAACAAAATGAATATGTACAACAGTCAAATAAATAGCAACAAGTTGTGTCAATATCTACATGAACACAAGCAGCTCACCAAAGGACTGCGAGTTACACGGGCATCAAGATGTTTTTATGTTTTATATTTTTACAGACAAGATGTAAAACAGCCACAAGTCAGACCATGGCCAAAAATATGCCTCTAAAAACTGTAAATAAAGGCAATGAGTGAAAAAAAACTTTGGGTTTTGTCGTGCAAAAGGCTGACTGATTGTTATTCCCCAGTGGGCAGTGCTTTATTTATGTTAAATAAAATAAAACATTAAACCTGAAGCTATCATATACCTGTGCTTTTATAGTTTTATTAAAAATGTTTTTAATTTCAGGAGTCGACTATTGTTCATCTTTTTTGGATTCATGAATGACAGTTTTATTCAAATTAATTTGTTAGGGACTACAAAACAAAACATGTGGGTATTCCTCCTTGTGCTGCTATGTATGTGCCGTCTGGTGGCGTCTGACTACAATGCTGTGTGCATTCTGTCCAACATAAAACGTAGTTTGGCTCGCTTCTTTTCCAATCTTTGGAACCACTAGTGCTGTTGCCTGTATATCATTTAACTGATTTAAAGAAATTTCTTTAAAAAGTTCAGCAATTCTTGTTATTTTACTATACTTAAAGGTTGAATATGGAACACGGACACTGGCAAACACTCTGACGAACACTGGTGTTCAGAGGTGGTATTGTATTGCAACAACATGACTAATTTTCCAGCCGTTGGGATGTTGGTTCACTGCTGACACGTTCCAGCACCATGTTCAGAGACAAATTGTACAGGATAAGGACTCATCTCTATAATTTATTTTACAATAGTATTTACCGTCAGAACATCTGGGCTCAGAATCAGCTGTTTGACTTGTCAAGTCCACTATTTTACACAGTCCCAGCCTCGCCTTGCCGAGCGGACTATTTTGCACAACGGTGCCCTCTAGTGGCTGGTCGATGTACACATAAACAAATTGGGTGTTTCTCAATGCCAAGGAACCTCGTCTTGATGTCTTGGCCTCCCCCGGTTGCCTAGGAGATACGTCATCAGAAGCTGCCAAGACATGTTCCAATGTTCATGTTCTACCAAGGCATGTGTTCTCCGTTTGTTAGCCGTTTAGCTAGCTGAGCAAGGATACACAGGAGGTGTCTTGTAGCCTAGCCTTGATCAAAAATGACCCAGAGTACACCGCGGTATTTTCAAAAGGACGATGGATCAGAAGCTGGCAGCTACTTCGGGGACAATTTTCAAGTTTAAAAGTAAGTCAACAAATTTAAAATGTTTTTTTTTAGATCCAAAGAAGTTATCTATGGTTGGCTAGTTGCTTAGTAGTTGCAGCTTCGGTGGCTAGCGGGTAGTAACTCACTTATAGATTTTATTTAATAAACATTTACACAATTTAAAAAGTGAAAGGCTCGTTATATATTTAAATTGAAACTAACATGTATAAAATATAACTTTATCTCCCATGCCACGTGACGTTACGTGACCGCCGTGGAAGCCACAGTCATGTTATGCAAGTCTGTTCCATTCAGTCGTTTTCTTTGACCAAGGAAGGACAGTGTCCTTGTAAGCAAGGCGCCAGGCGGCTTGACATTGAGAAACAGTGCAGGTGAGGCCTAGTCGACTCTGACTGGTTAACGGATGGTTAGTAATAATAATGGTGGAGTGCCTCAAAGCTGCAGGACCCATCAGCATGTAGAGAAGCCAGAAAGAGGATTGGAAGTTGAACGTTAAGTTAAAAGAAATTAAAAAGTACCTTATTGGTTAATTCCATACATCCACTGTCTGAACCCGCTTGTCCATGTAGGGTCACGGGGGGACTGGTGCCTATCTCCAGCGGTCAATGGGCAATCAGGCGGGGTACACCCTGGACAGAGTGCCAGTCCATCGCAGCTTATTGGTTAATTAAAGTTTGAATTTTAAGCTCTGCTCCTTGTATTTGAACAAATAAGGCATTTAACTACTTAGCAATGTGATACTTAAAACGATTGTATGTAGGTGCAAAGGCAAGAATTATTTTACCCTAATGTTAACCCAACCAATGAGCTGCTGTCCAACAGAGTAAAGACCAAAGCTTCAGTTTGCAGCTTTGGTTTATTTTATTCTACATAAGTTCATTCAGTCCAAGCATTTGTGTTAAAATGAGGCTGAGGCAACAAGATGGCCGAGGTCTGACTCTCATAGTGAAAATGAAGAGTAACACTGTACATTGAGTCCCTCATTGAGGTTAAAATACATGTCGCCATAGAGGGCAAATCAGCAAGAAAAAAAAAATTGGGGAAAAATACATTAAAATATTTAACAAAATTTAAAAAATTCTTAAAGCACTTTGTTTTTTGAAGAAGAATGCTGTATGAACATAGCTTACGTTTGTTCACAAATGAAATCAATCAATCAATCAAAGCTTTATTTATAAAGTGCCTTCCGCAACCCTGTCAGGAAGCCCAAGGCGCTGATCAATCAAACTAACGCAGAGGTAAAATAAGCTAACCAGGGTTTCCAACTCTCACTTTTGACCCTCTGCACACGCTCTCACGCCACACCTCCAATATGTCACGCTGATTAACCCCCCCCCAGTGAACAGGGTGCAACGGTCCGCGCACCCCACCCTCCGCTCCGACTGTAAGTGAACAGGGTGAAACGGTCAGCGCAACCCCCGGCTCTCATGCATTCATTTGTTCAAACGTTGGCAGCCCTGGCTAACTGCTCACTGAAACTCCTGGTAGATCAAATCTAGCTTTGTTTTTTTACATCTTTTCAATGACACACATGAAGCACTTCAGTCAAATGCTCTGGAAATCAAATTTTCAGAAACTTCAGTCACAAAAATAAATAAATAATAATAATAAATAAAAAGTCAACACTGAACTTAGTTGTGCTCCAGATCCCCAGTTTTCACAACAACATCCAGTTATAGAGAAGCAAGGAGATGGCAGAAGATTACAGTTAGAGATTGTATCACTGTCACACATGTGCTTTGACTGTTTGCTAGCAAGCTAATTAGCTAGTTAAAGAGCTTTTACACTTTTAGCTCAAGATATTTTTAGCTAGAAGCCTTTAAGCTAGTGAACTTTTAGTTATGTACTTTCCAATAGAAAACCTTTAGCTATAATATTTAGCTGGAAAAGATTTAGGCTAGAAACATTTTAGTTGGTGAGCTAATGCATTTAGCTAGCTAGCTAGCTAGATGATAGATAGATAGATAGATATTCTCTTAATTAAAACATGTTTTGTTACATGATGATTTATTGCCATGTCATTTATTGTTTTATGATTAGCTTAAAACTGCAGTTTTGTATTATTACTGTTTGTGATACAAATATTAAAGCTTCAAAACTGACTTTGCTGCAACCCAATATTAAATTCAGCCAACTCTCATTATCCTCTGAGGTACCATAACACCTTCGAATGAAACACAAATTCAAATATTCTGAGGACAAATATTAAATTAATCATGACAATTACTTTTAACCAGCAGGTACTTTAGAAACTCTATAAAGAATAGTTTAACTGTTAAAGATGGTTTAGATTCAGATGAAATAAAGCATCTGTGGCAGCAAAAATGTATTGTCGACTCAAGGATGATTAAAATTTCCAAGTTGTTTATGTCCTTCCTATTTTTGGTTTTAAGTTTTCACGTGGTTCATTCCGTGTCTAGAATCTTCTGCTAATAGAAATTAGCCATGAATTTATTTTAATTTGTTAGAAATGACACTATGTTACCAGTTTATAAAAAAGAAAACATTAGAAAAATTTTGACAAAAAGCTTGCAGTGCTTAAAAATTGACAGTATGAGCCAATTGATTAATTTTTTATCTGTTTTATATCTGATGTTCTGTGCATTCAGTACAAACAGTACTCAGCTTAATGCTGCATTTTAAAAGCACAAATACAGGGATGTGATGTATATATGTCGATGGATGTGACAGGCTAGTTAGCAATGTTTGGTACAATAGCATTAGCCATGTTATCTCAGATATCTGTATGTTGTATGAAATAATAACAATAAAATATCTGTGCTAAATTTGTGTAACTTTTTCATTTAAAAAATGAAATAAACTTATATATTTTTTTACTTTGAAACAATTTTTAACATACAGTTATTTCAATCCATACACTTTACGACGGCAGGTCATAATGCAAAATTAAGGTCTCTCTTTTCAGTAATTTAAAGGTGATTCCAACTTTTAAAGAGTGCTTCATGAATGAAAATCTGTTTCTCGAAACAGTTTGTATAATGCTAATGTTAAACCTCTGTCTGTAAGTAATAAGTAGCTACCGTGATATCTAATCTCCGATTTCACATTTTCATGAAAATGTAGTTATCGCTACCTGTACAGCTTAACATTGATAAACAGCGGCTTTACAAAAGCGCATAAAACAACATTTCATACATTTCTAACTCTTTAATACCACCTCAAGGAGAATACTGCTGACACAAAGACAAGTGATGGGTAGGCAGCACCTACAAGGGTTTTATGAATGATACCTATCCCCCTGTTGTGTCTATGAAAAACATTCCAACTACAGACAGCATGGAGGATATCTCTGGGTAATTTGAAAGTTCTCGAGTCCCAGATTGGGACAAGTTCCAACTTGTAAAGTGTTTGAGTAACATTCCAGAATGAAAGAGAGTTCCAATATCAGAATTTTTGGATCTGAGAAGATCCGAGGTTACGTCTTCACTTCTACAAATATTTTTTCCACCAAAAATTTTTTTTTTTGGTTTGTGAAAATATTTTCTGTTCATTACTTTCTATCTATCCACTTTCTTTACCCACTTATCCACGCAGGGTCATGGGTACCTTCTAACCTAGATGCTGAAACAACTTCATAGCACCACCTGGTGGCAAAAGCAGTCACATGACCAAAGTTGTTTTTACTGTTAAAAGTAATGCAGGGTACCTTCCGAAACACATCACTATGTCATCACTTCTTAATGAAAAAATCAGTTTTTATAAAAATCTAATTTTTTTGTGTCAACAGGTGTAAAAGTAAAAAAAGTATCTCTGGTTCTCTTTGTCGTAAATACTTGAATTGTTACGTCAGACATAATTAAGGAATGTGATGGGACAGCTTCAACAGCTTTAAGTCAGGCCTACGTCTGTCCGGTGAGACGTTTATCAGTGCAAAATGTCAAAAACGTATAAAAACAGCTGGCTGCATCAGAGCATAACAAGCTTGGACCAAAGTTTGATCAGTGGACTCGACAGGTCATACGACAGAACAAATTGCGATAATCTCACTGGGATGTGACATTCATGGAGTTTCCAAAATGTCTAAAACGTTCACCAGGACTCTTGTGTAAGTCTCAAGATACAAATGTTTTCTGAAAATAGTTTGCTGACTTATTGCAGGTGTCTGAATCCTTTTCAATTCTATTTCAGGAATGTAAGGTAAATTTGGAACAAGTTGGCAGCCAGTGGACTTAGTTACTGGAGATTAGTTTTTAAAACAGTTGCATCCCAGGTAGATTCTGGTTTGGTTTGTTGTAACCCTCCCACTGTCCTAATGGGTGTGACCCCGCGAGGAAAGTTGACCATTGAGCAGGATTGATGGTTTATCCCTTGGGTCCACGTGCCAGGGGTGAGGAGTGAGCACCACCTCACCCCTGGCACGTGAACATCAAGGGATAAACCATCAACCCTGCTCAATGGTCAACTTTCCTCGCGGGGTCACACCCATAAAGACAGTGGGAGGGTTAATCAAGCTGAAGCTTCATAGTAGGAAACGTTTTTCTGATTGGCTTAAGGAACTGACCTGTATTGGAATGTTTGGCGCTATATAAATGAACTTGAATTAAATAGAATTGAATAGTATGAACTACCCAACTCTTAAAAGTTATTTTAGAGTTTTTTGTTGATGTGGAGAGAAAAGTGTTCCGAAATTCCAGACCATTAAATCGAGCCCAGAAGAACTGAAAAAAACATGGGAAATCCAACATCCTTCCAACTTTGTGATGGTTATAAAAAAAGAGTCTGCAAACATTTTGACTGCGGTGATGTTTTATCTCCAGGAAACCTTTTCCTAGATATTCTGAAGCTCATTAAACACTGACAGCTGGTCCAAGAGGAGATGATTTACAGGCTAATAACTTCTCTGTAAACTGGTTTTGTTTTACTAACAGCTAAGTACTTGTCCTTGATCCAGGCAGTGATCTTTCGCATTCCATAAATCAGCCTCATCAGCAAAATCAGGGAGGTCATCGAGCAGCTCAACCACCTCTAATCCTGGAGACTTAAGTCTTACAGAGATTTTCAGAAAGGCGAAGGGTGAAAACCAGGTTGTGTGGTCCAATGACCAGCTGCAGGTTGTCTCTAAAAAAAATATGGTGCCATGCTAGAAGGCAGTGCTAGCTGACGGTGGTTGAAAAAAAGATGGCCGAAAAGTTTAGGGTATAAAGGCAAAAGTAGGCAGGTCATGGTAAAAGGGACTTGGGAGTGTGTTCTGGCGTCATGGCGACACAGTACAATCAGGCTGAAACACACGTACATACATGCACATACACGAACACTGGGCCCCTATTGCAAGTCTCCAAAGCTTAATCGTGTCCAGCGTTGCCCCACTGACCACCTTTATCTGCGCTGCATCTCCAACGGGACGATCCTCCTCTACCCCTAAATCTCTGGGGTCGTCCAGCGCCCCTCTCTATCTCTTTTTGGTTCATTTTGTGAAAGCAGAATTGCACAGAAGCACAGAAGAAGAAGAAGTAGAAAGAGGGCGTGGTTTGTTGTTTCAGCTGTTGTCCGGTTGTCTGGATTGGTGGAGAGGTAAGGACCGCTGGCAGGGACTAATGCGGGAGCGGCACCAGGATATCCACATAGTTGATGGGGAAAAAACCTGACTGGCCGTTGATCATGCCCTCGTACCAGTTTTCATCGATCTGATTGGTCAGGGTGATGATTTCACCCTCCTTGAAACCGAGCTCACCTTCATTCTCTGGCTCAAAGTCGTAGAGTGCTCGACAACACGGCTGGTCCATCGGTGCTGGAAAGGACAGGAAGTCAGGAACATCAGAGTCTTTACAGTGTCCAACCATGGCCCTTTAGGGCCACCATACTGCATGTTCTAGCTGTTCTGGTTTTACGGTTCAGGAGGTCATCAAGCTCTGCAGAAACCTGTTAATCATCTATTAACTAGAACCAGGTGTGTTGGAGCAGAGAAACCTCTAGAACATGCTGAATGGTGGCCCTGGAGGACCAGTTCTGAAAGCCTATAGTTTAGTTACATAATAAGCATGGTTTGGATTGAATGTTGTCAAAAATAATCAGTGAAATATTTTCTAAACATGACGGAATGCCTACTAACGAGAAACCAATGAGTAAAGAGCTAGAGGTAATTGGAACATATTATAGAATCAAAGGTTAAAGGTATAGCGGAGGATCTTGTTTGTTTGGGTGGATCATTTTAACCATTGGTCCGCATAACTGTCAATCATTCTGGTGAAGCTTTCACGCAAGGCCGTCGTTAGTTTTCACTTCCTGTGCATTCCTCCGCCATACCTTTAACTTTCATTTTCATTGGCTGTGAAAAACTGCATCATGAAGTCATACAAATATTTGACTTGCTTTGTTAAAAATGTAAATGATCTAGACAAAAAAACCCTATGAAATCTTTCTATTTTCCCAAATTCTCTTTATATTTTTCTGTTTAAAAATTATTTTATTATATGTGGATCTTTAAAATTTTAACTAAAACTTACAGAATTCATAAAGGTTGAAAAATTATTGAACAAAAATCATCACATATAAAAATCTGTCACATTAGTCCAGACGGGGTTACTAAAACCCGTTCGCTGACGTGTCGATGCATCATTTCAAATGTTTGGAGTTGATTCAACAGTAATAAGTGAGGGGGCGGAACCAGTTATGTAGAGCACATGACAGGAAGTGAAGCTAACGCCAGCTCACTTCCTCCGGTTCTGACTAGCTAGTTCGATTGGTCTCGTATTGTTTCTGTTGAACACGTTCTCCTGCAGCAGACCTCTCCTCCAGGAGAACCTGCCGCTGACGTGAACATGATTAGAAAGTGTGAAAACCACACCCATCCACGCAAATAATCTGATTATTTCAGAGTTAAACCTATTTTTATGGTTTGACTCTGCTTTCCACATCCTGGAAACGACCCTGAAAACCGGAGCCCAGTCCGTGTGTCCCGTTAGCGTAAACACAAACGAGAGGCCAAACAAAGCCCAGAAGAAGCTGAAGTAGGGAAACCTTCCCTTCATCTACCTGGTGATCTTCCAGGGGATTTGGCTGAGTGAATCCCACCATTGTGGCTCTCGCTGGGAGGGAGGAGCTCCAGGGTCATCCTGGGTTTGGGGGTGTACTCCTTCCTAGGTTTACTGGACACCTCCTTTATCCTGGAGGAGAAAAGAAAGCAGAACAGTGAAGTGTGTGGAACTTATTCCGGAGCCCAGCTGGGAGGATGGATACATACCTGTCCTCCATCTTGCTGGACAGCTGCTGGAGGATTTCAGAGGAGCGGCTGTGATATTCCAGCTGGGCTTGGACCAGCGCCGCCAGCTGGCTCACCTGCTCGATCTGCAGTACAAACACAATGTAACCATGACAACAGGAGAAGCCTCTGAACCACGAGCCAGTGGAAATAGTTCTGATGACTCTTATCATGAAGTTGGTGGTTTATCTTCACGGATCTTTTTTGGTTTTAATCTTTAATTCAAAATTGGATGGAAGGATGGCAGTGTTGGGAACGTTAATTTAAAAAAGTAATTAGTTACAGTTACTGATTACTTTGTCAAAAAAGTAACTCAGTTACTTACCGAGTTACAAAATTATAAAAGTAACTAATTATCAAGAAAAATAACAGTTTTGTTACTTTTTTTCGTTAAAGAATGTAAGAAAAATGGGTTCTCCTCTAAATTAAACCTACTTAATGTACAATAAATTATTCCAATACTGACATAATGACTGGAATGTAATAAAATGTCCCAATGTTTTTTTTATGAAACTGAATAATTTAAATAAATGAGTACTTAACAGGAGGAACTACTAACAGGAGCATTACACTAATCTAGACTATTAAAAGGTCACTGTGTGATATTTAACAAGACCCCAATCAGCTAAAATGTATAATTGCAAATAGAAACACCTGTAAAGGTTCCTGTGCCTTTAAATGGTCTCTCAGTCTAGTTAAATTAATGAAATAAATGTAATTTTGCACAGTATTTTAATTTTTCCAGCTTCACATAATTGTGTGTTTTTAGCAGCATTTCTGTTGATGGTAATCTAGTAAAGGCTAAATAAATAAAATCCTTTAAAATGACACTAGAAGAGGCACAAGCCTGATGGAGGACTTACATTTACTAACTTGGGTCAGACCCAACCACAGAAGAGCTGAAGCTGGGTGGTAAACACACACAGGTAGTTCTAATAACACCTGAGCTCCATGACGTCTGATACTGATGCATCAGTGTTACAGCGGGACTAAAGACATGATCAGAAACAGGTATAGTTATGGTTGTGCTTTGGAATTCCACAATTTATTTTGGAAGAATTCTGGCAACCTTTTGACAATCCATAATTCTATTTTGGCGTGCCTTATTTGGGCCATATTTGGCCCATCATTCCACCCAAAAGAGTACAGCTGGAAGATCTAGGAAGGTAGAAGATCGTGACATCTGAGCGGTGAACAGGTGAGCGGACCTTCGGGACGTAATGTCCAGCAATGGTCAGTTTTTAGGTACTGTTTGACCATTCAACATCTGGTCAAAATGGAGACACGAGACTGCATGTGTTCCCTTTAAATCAGCTTGCCTCATCCCACCAGCTGGAGCTCAGAGCCTGCAGCTCTGAACACAGATAATGAAATGTCAACAATAATGTTCTCTCCTCAAGGTCCCATCTTTCATGTCTTCATGCCCCCATATAAGGAACACTCGCAGTCCGGATCAGTTGCTAAATCAAAGAACGATTTCCTAAATTAAAAATGAACTTCTAAAACTTATAAACTAGATTATCATTAAATAAATGTTTGTTTATTGCTACTTATAATAATTATAATATAATGAAATGTTTCATTGATCTGTGCTCAATGATTGAAGTTTGAAATGAATGTTATGCTATGACTACATTGATTGAAATATGTTTCAGCATGTTAATATGACAAGGTCATCACCATTTTCACTCACACAAGAACAAAGTAAGGTTAAGTTAAACTCATGACACATAAATTGTCCTTTACCCCAGATCAGAGCATCCGGTATCAAGGGAGGCGTGTGTTTCTGAATTGTTTTGGTAATATTCCTCAAACTTGTCAACCTCTGGTTGGCTACACAAATCATAACATAAGAACATTAAATCTGGATCACTCTGGGTGTTTCAGATCGGCCATCTGAAGCAAAACCCTCTTTAACCCATCAAAGCTTTTGACACGTCGTCAAAATCTTTTTGCACCTGCGAAGCTGATACCGCAACAGTTCCTGTAGAACAAGCTGGTATTGTATAGACTCCTTAAGAGCCTGCCAGACGCGCAGTTCCATCCATCTGTCGTGACCTGGAGACAACTCTGGACTGAAGAGTCGGTGCCACGGTATTCTACAGCCCTTTGGTGCCAGAGGTCAGCCGACCTCTCTGACCTTCGGATCCACCAAGAGGGTCTCCGAAAATGGGTGAAGTAGACACACAGATAGCGTGTGATGTGCTTTTGATAACAACCAACTTCATAACTTAACACAAATCGTTAACATCCAGAACTCAGCTCTCCTAGATCCGGAAGTTCTGACTAACATTGCATTCACACATAGGTTTCACACATCACAGTAAATGCTTAATTAACTTGTCATGTTTTAATTGTTGGTAAAATAAATTCTTACTTTTATAAACCTGACTGTTTTCTGAATCAAAATAAAGTGTTTACAATCCCTTAATAAACAAAGAATCCTAGATCTTCTGATTAAACACCGTAGAGACCAAGCAGGGTTGATTTTCTATATTTAAATAGAGTATCACAGCTTATTGGTCATAAGTAGAGGTAAAATATCTATTGAGCTCTTAAAGCACTCCATTTGCCAAACCCTACAGGGACGTCCCGCTGTCACGCTAAGGAGGGCACGGCTGCAGATCCACAATTGCAGCAGCGAATCTGCAGGTCTGCAGCTGTAACTATTCATCACGTCTTCCTCGTTCTTTACAAGCCGTGATTCGCTTGGATGAAAACATCCGCCTCTTTAGCTTCCAATCAGCTGATGACGGCTTCAACATACCGCACTGCTTAACGCATGCTTTTAAAAAAGTGAAGCGACTTTATTTATTTTTTATCTTGTCATCATTTAACATTTAATGTCATGATCATGCCCTGACCTCTGTGTTTTCCTGTCTCCCTGCAGCAGCAGTCATCTAGCTGATTAATTCCACCTGTGCTGCTCCCTATTTAAGCACCTGGCTCCTGCTGCTCAGTGCGAGATCGTCTGCTGTCCTGCCAGTCCTTCGAGAGTTTGAACCTGCCTCCCGGTTCTTTACTGACCTCTGCCTGCCTAACCAAGGAACCCGTCTATTGCCTCAGCTCCAGCCTGAATCTGAGCACTCACCTTCATCAGCATTCCTCACCGCTGCTGTTTTCAGAAGGTCAGTCACTCTTCAGATGAAGACATCTGAATTATCTCCCTCGCTGACTGTTTTCTGTGTCCCGGGCCACGCCACCCGGAACCGACTCCTGCTGGTCCCGCTCACTTGAACAAGTCCTTTAATAAAATCTTTAAATCTTTCTCTGTGTTTGGCTGTTGTTGGATCCGGCTGATCGTCACTAGGTCTGACCGTGACATTTAAATCTAAATATTTAATTTTAATACATGAAACCTTTTTAAATTTTTGTAAATATTATGTACTTGTTTGACTTTTTAGTATAAATTAGGATTTCATGTGTTATGTTGGATACGAGGGAATGCATTTTCCCGCCACAGCTGCGTGTCTAACCAGTTCTTCAAGGACTGGGTCACTTACATCGCTCTCCAGCAGGTTGAACATGCTCTGCTCGGCTATCTCTTTGCTCTCGTCGAACTTCTCTAGCGCCTGTTTGATCTCCTCGTCCTGGACTTTCCCTTGACGCTTCTTCTTGTAGTCGAAGTCCAAACGACGGCCCTCCATCTTCTTCAGATGATGCTGCGAGGCGAGAGGAAACCAGTAACCATCTGATCCGGCTGACAGATCGGACCATCCACCGGGTCTGAATAGTTTATGCACCTGTATCTCCTTCAAGTCCTTGTCATGGAGGTTCTGCAGAGGGTCGATGAAGTTCTGTTTGACCTCCATGTCCAGAGCATCCTTCACCTCCCCGAGCTCCTTCATGGCCTCGCCGGCGTCTATCAGCGCCGTTCCTGGAATCACGAGGAGAGAATCTGAGTTACTGTTAGAGTTCTTCTGGTTCTGGGTGGAAGATCTCTGGTCCTGGAACAGATGTTCTCTATTGTTGACTTACGGTCTCTTGAGTCATAATACAACACTAGACTGGAGGCGGAGTCGAGGCCAACAGCCAGTAAAAACTACATCTCCATGTCGGGACTCACCGAAACAGGACTCTTCTCCCAGCTCTCGTCCAAACTTCAGCATGGCGTCCCCCAGGATGGTCTCGGCCTGCGGGTACCCGGGCCCCTTCTCCTGGCCACGGATCTTGGACATAGTGTTGATCATGCTCAGCTTGGCTCTGGACGCTGGGAGGAGGGATCAGAGCGGTGAGTGGAGGTCACAGGAAGCTGCTGAGGGCAGCTTGGCATGCTTCTTACCTGGGTTGGGCTGAAGGTACTCTGTGGTTTTGGTCATGATGTCCAGAACCGCTCTGCTGGTGACGTCCACCTTCTGCGGAGGACACGTTTGGTAGAAACATCCCCGTTTACCCCCCGCTGTTCACAGGTTAAACGTAAACATCGCACCAGCTGTCGGGAGTTTTAAATAAAACCGCTGGATTTATGTGGACCGTGTGCAGAGTTAGAGGAGCCATTTCATGTTGGATCCCGTCATCCACTGCTGCTTCACCGCTAAATGATGTTAAAAACAAACGGTAGCTGAAACCAAACACCAAAATTAATAGGATGTTTTACATCTCATCTGTAAAACCGCTCCTTTAATGTTAGATTTTTAAAAGCACCGTTTAACCTAAATAAAAACCTGTTCAAGTTTTACTTCAGTAATAACAAGAACATGAATATTTCTATGAATTATTATAATTAATGATCAAATGTGTAGTTACTGTTATCTCCGTTAGGAATTTCCTCCTGCAGCTTTAAAAAAAACTCCCAAATCCACTCTTAAATTTTGCGACGTGAAACCATTTTAGTACAAACACTTGTTTTCTCTCTAAACCAGGAAGTGACGAGTCTTTTTACCTCCTCATGTGGTGAAAGATCAAACACATGCACACCCACCTGATCCTTCTGCTGCTCACAGTTTAGGCACCTTTCAGTTGATTGCGGTTGCCATGGGGACCCTAATGGGCCACTGACAGTAGCTTTAACACTTCTGCTCACTTCTTCCACTGCCCCTATGCTTCAGGTCACATTTAAACAAAGCTAATTACCTTTTCCATTTCTTTGAAGTCATCGTCGAGTTTGGTTCCTTCCGCTCCTCCAACCTTCTCGCTGACTTTCTGCAGAGAGAGACCCACGTACACACAGAAGGAACGAGGGTTAAAACTGTCCCGTTTGACTCTTTAGGTCTATAAAATACCCATCTGTTTGCATTCGGGGCGATGATGGAGAGAAACCACAGTGCTGCTGGGAGATGAAAGTGTGTCGAATCCTTTACAGAACTCGGGTGTGAGATCAAACCCACGGGTTCATACGGGTGTAGTTAATAGATCATAATAAGGTATAGAGGGTAACAAACAGGCTAAATAATAGACTCAAGCTCACTAAGACTTCATTAAAATTATTTAATTCAACAGGTTAAAATAAATAAAGGAATGATAATTAGATGACAAGTAAAAATCTAGAAATCATGGTGGCGCAGTGGTTAGCATTGTTGCCTCGCAGCACGGAGGTCGCAGGTTCGAAACTCGGCTGCGGCCTTTCTGCGTGGAGTTGCGTGTTCTCCCCATGCATGCGTGGGTTTCCTCCGGGTTTCCCCCACAGATCACAACACGCCCTATAGGTTATAGATTGAAAGTCGATTTGGATAAAAGCGTCTGCTAAATAAATAAACAAAATAAACAAATAAAAAATCAATCCGAGTCAGAAAACAAGAATAAAAATATTAAAACAACAAGTTAAAGCTTTGAACACGTAAAATGTTCAAGAGCAGGTGGTTTCTGATCTTGTTTCCACACTCAAACGGTCTAACTTGTGTTTGTTGCACAAAAGCCACGAGTGACTTTTCTTTAACGTTTTCACTGGTTGAATTCTCGTTTTCCTCGTGTTCGTGTCGAATAAAAGCCGCTCTTGCTTTTAGGAATGAATGACTTTTTTTTTAAACGGTTCTTTTTTCACCCAGATCCACATTCAGAGAAGAGTCAAAATTAAAAACACAAACTAACGATCTGATAAAAAAAGCACCCATTTTTATGTAAACAGCAGAAATAAAACTTCTAACTTGAAACCAGTGTTAAAATCTTTTTTCATTTAGTTTCAGTCTTTTGACTAAAATTCTTATTAATTAAACGATGTTTCTCTGCGGTCATTACAACATTACTAATTTACACAGAAACACCGTTAAAATATGTCAAACACATCAACATCCTTTAGAAACGACAAATGAAAAGATGATGCTGGTTTTCCTGAGTGAAGCTCCTGCATTGAACTGGTTCCTCGTAATTTCTACTCAAGAGTTCATGAAACCTGTAATAAACACAATAAACATCATGTGTTCAGCTTGGCTGACTGCAGGTTTATTAGTTTTAAGTTCCGATTCTCCTCGGAAATAATTATTTCTGCTTAGCTGGCCACAAAGGGAGCAGCAAGTGCTGATCAGGGATGCTGCTCCATCTCTAATAGCCTCAGGGTGCAGTGATGAAGGAGGAGATGGGCCACCAGCGAGCCATCCTTTATTCTCTCACGCAGAACACTCCAGTAAACAAACACATAAAGGCTACAGGAAACAGCTGCACACATACGCCATCATCATCATCATCATCATCATCATCATCCTACAGGTGAAACGTCTACAGACCCAACGCCACCTCAGGAGGGAGAGAAGGAGACAGATGTGTGTATGAAAACAATGTCGTCCTTCAGCTGCTTCATTAAAAATGAACATCTGAACTTCTAGATGTGCTCCTGAATCACGACAGCAGAGAATGTTTACATGCTCAGAGTAACAAGCGGTGCAAACACAAACAGGAACATGTGTTCATTTAACCGTTTACACACCTGTGTGTGTGCGTGTGTTACTGAGGATCGTCAGTCTGATGGAAGGAACACACCAAATGATGAAGAATGAACAGATTTGAGTTGAACGGAGGAGGTGACGTTAGAAACAAACAAGGAGATTTAAAACAACACAAAACCACAGCAGGAAGGAAACGTGTGAGGGACAGACAGATGGGAGGACAATGCAGTTACCATGGAGACGAGGATGTAATGGCATCCTACACACACACACACACACACACACACACACACACACACACACACACACACACGCACACACACAGAGGCAGTGGTCCCGTTGGTTTCAGGCAGGTCTGTTCTCTCTTACATAACTCCGCCTCTCTCAGCTGTTTTCTTCTTCTACTGTTTTTAACACTTTGTGTGAAATCTATTTATATCTGACCTGATTTTACTGCCTGCTCACGTTAAACGGGAGCGTCGGGTTCTTTTCCTGTGAGTTTCTTTAACCCTCCCGCTGTCTTCATGGGTGACCCCGCAAAGAAAGTTGACCACGTGGCAGGGGTGAGCACCACCTCACCCCTGCCACGTGGACCTCAAGGGATAAACCATCGATCCTGCTCAATGTTCAACTTTCTTTGCAGGGTCACCCATGAAGACAGTGGGAGGGTTAAAAAGAGCAGTGATAAAATATGTTTGCATGTCCTTGGTTGGTCAGCATCTCTCTGAGATGTGACTTCTACCTGCAGGATTCACAAGAAAGTTTCCAAAATGTTCTTCAACATCTGCCAGGGTTCCCAACGGTTAAAAAAAACATATTCTCATTACATACGCAACCTGGCCGGATAATAAAACCTGTTACAGTAACTACATTTTTGCGTCTCCAACTTGTCTCCAGCAGTCCCGATCCCAGTGAGACCCTGGCCTATCATTAGGTTGGGCCCAATTCACAAGGTGACTACGCAGATTTTTTACCCGATTCTCTCTTTTCAACAATGTAAAGGGCCATCTTATTACCATAATGACTCTAAAGATAATCTTATCAGATATTCCTGCCATGTGTGGTGTGTTAAGAGTGCTCTGGTCTGCTGAGAAGCACGTTGGGACCGCTCGGATCATAAATCATGGATGTATTGGATTGTCTTGGCTGGGGATGCTCCAATCAGGATTTTTCTGCCGATCACTGACACCGAGCTCCAAGAGTGCTGTATAGTCTAGTTATAAGTGCTAAAGACTACACGATCTTGAAAAAAAAAGGCAAAAATATCGTATTCATTTAGACCAGTGGTTCCCAAACTTATTTAGCCGCGCACCCCCTTCTATGTCCCGACCATGTCGACGCACCCCCCCGGTGCATGGCTCTATATATATATATATATATATATATATATATATATATATATATATATATATATATATCAGATGTCAAGCTAAACAGACAGGGTTAAAAAAAAATTCCCCATCACTTTCATTTTTTAAATAGTAATTAATAAACATTCGATACCATTACAATTTCCTTTGATTTCATTTTAAATAAATATTTAGAGTGCCCAGGTAGCACATCAACAATGCTATTTAACGGTTTTCTTAAAGTAGGAACGTTTAACCTGTGCGGCCAGAGCTCTCTCCTTCCTTCTGCTCTGCGTAAACCTGAGCTGATCACCTACTTGTGCGTAATCAAATGTCAATAGGGGACAAGATAGAGCCATGATGTTCACTTTTACCTCAGACCGACTTATTGCTGTTTTATGGTGAGGCTGAAGCTGTGATCCGCTGTCATGCGGACCGGAATAACACATGCTGCAGTAACATGAGATGTGGTCAGGTTCATGAGGAGTCACTGGCTGGAGCGGACCCGACTCATCCCAGAAGCCAATATCTTAATTTGACCTTGAATGAAAAATAACCTCTTAAAAGTTTTTATCACGGTGGAGGCAGCGTTCATTTCTGCCTTCAGTCTGACGGCGCGCCGGAGTTAAAGCAGCGTGTGCGCTTATTGAATCTGTGTGCGTGTGTGTGTGTGCGCGCGCGCGCGCGCGGCACAGCCGCTCCAGTCACCGCGTCTCGCGCTATTTAAACCAATGTTGTAAAATGACTTCTGCCCAGCCCAGATGTGCTCACTTGTGCACCCGTGAGCCGTGGTTCAGCCGAAACATGTCTGACCTCTGACAGACGCACTCTGAACTTCAGATCTTCAGCGTGCTGTTAATAGCCTGAATGGGAATCATTTCTTGTTATTTTGTTACATCCACAATGTTCTGTGTGTGAGGTTTACAACGTCAGAACACCTGCATGAGACAGGTGTTAATTACAATCTGCCAGAATGACTCACCACCTTCAGATTTCTCCAACACCGTTAAAAATGATCAAATACGGAACATATCGGCGTGCGCAGGCCAGAGTGCTGAAGCTCGGCGCATTGTTATTATGAAGCTAGGGCACATGCGGAGGACACGTGCGCAAAAATATACTTGTTTTCAATTACATTTATTGGGCCCACGTACTGTTTCTTTGGCCCACCCACAAATGAGTTTCTACGCTAACGGTGACATATGACAGACTTCTCTGAGCTCCGCAGCCATTACACTTTTCACCTCGCGCACCCCCTAGAGACAGCTCGCGCACCAGACTTTGGGAATCCCTGATTTAGACAAAAACAGCTCCTATTCTTCTTTGAACATCTTTCTTAAGTTCGTTCTGTTTTGGTTACACGTTTTCCGGTTCTTCACTATAAACAGAGTGAAAAGAGCTTGTTTTTACCTCTGTTGTTGACATGTTTCAGCTTCAGGCCGTGGAAGGTTTGTGAGTGAAATCGGTTCATTTGTAGTCTCACACAGTTGGACAGAACTGGTATATCAGTGATTTTCTTGTCGACGTGAGGGTCTCTTGTTTTGAAAATCTTCGGACCATTATTAAATCCGGCCTGTGAAACAGGTCTAAGGATGGTGTCGGGCTTGAAGATGAACCCGAAGGCTAAAACCTACAGACTCTGGTGAATCAAGAACATTTCTCCTAAAGCAGACAGTTCTCAGGTTAAACGTGCTGACTCCGTCTATCTGATCTTGCAGCTGGAGGTTTTCTCACACTGATGAAGCCCCTCTGGCTGCCTGATGCTGCTCAGCCCAACAGCCTCATTGAACTCACAGAAGATTAACATCAGCCTTACGGCGAGGTCCTCTCCTACATCAGCTACCGGGGGCCTCGACCTCTGACATTCTACTCGGTCTCCTTCAGCCACTGGCAGCGACAGACTCGTAACTAAACCTATTTTTCTTTGGGCCTTGACGGGAGTGACTCAGCAAAAACAAAAAGAGGAGAAACAAAA